ATAAAGTTCAGATTTACTGTAATATTTTGGGCGCCCCCCCCCCCCCCCCCCCCAAATTCAGGTCTCTGCCGATAGAATGCATCAAAATGTTTACTACTAGAGAACTGCAGTGAGAACCATATTTAAGAGATTCAAACGGTGTCTGAAGTGTTTCTAAGAAACGTTTCACTCGATCGACTTTCTAACATGCCCGCAGGGTAGTTGACATCTAGTTTTCTCATCTATTTTTCGAATTTTAATCTCATCTGTATATACATTTTATCACCGAACATCTATAGATATCGATAGATAGATAGTGACCTGTAATCAAGCCTAATTAGTGGTCAGGCCTGTAATCAAATACAGTGTACTTTAATTTATTTGATTAATATTTTTTTATTTAAATAAATTTTAAAATTTTGTAAATATCTTGATGATGCGTCGGTGAGCCGCAAGTTTAAATAAAGAGTACATTAAAATCAACATTACGGTTCCAAATGTAACTTCATACGGATCTTATTAACTTCTGTTATTAAATAAAATAAGTTGCTTCACTCTTATCAATTGTAGTACTAGTTACGAATAGAGCGAACTGGGTGGATCCGACATGCACACTGGGTAGGGCTGAAAAGTTCTGAATATCGAACTGATTTCTATGAAACCTATAAGAATCTCCGTCAAAATCGAGCAATTATATCTCTAATTCTTTGTATTAATATGACGATAGTTCTTCGGTTATTTGTAGGTGAAAACGGTCAAGATGGTGGTGGTTTGTTACGTGAATGGTATTCGATTATGTGTGCAGAAATGTTTAACGTAGATTATGGTCTGTTTCAACGGACACAAGATGGTATTTATTCTTTGAATTCATTACCTCATTTTGATGAAAGACATTTATCTTATCTTACGTTTATTGGACATTTAATGGGCAAAGCATTATTTGACACGATGTACGTGGATGTGCATTTTACACGAGTTTTTTATAAACAAATATTGGAAGTGAAAATTAATGATATAGTCGAGGATATGAAATATGTTGATGAACAGTATTATCAGGTAAAATATAAAATATTGTCACATTTCTTCAATGATCTAATTTATATTTTTTTTGTTTAGAATTTAAAACATCTATTATCACACGATATATCTACTTTAAATTTGATCGATTTAACATTTAGTGTCGATGTACTTGAATATGAGGTTTTACGGACATATGATCTATGTGAGAATGGACGAAATATTCCAGTGACAGATGAAAATAAACATGATTATGTTCGACTTGTATGTGATTGGAAAATACAAGGACCACAAATACAGCGACAATTAAAAGCATTGTTAGATGGTCTATACGATATTATACCTAGAGATTTGTTAAAAATTTTCAATGAACAAGAGTTAGAATTAGTTATTGCCGGTATAAACTTTTTCAATTGATGATTATCTAGTACTCAATATAAAACATTATTTTTTAGGTTTAGCAACTATTGATCTGAATGATTTAGAAGCTAATACAGAATATTATGATTATTTACCAAATTCTGATCAAGTACGAGTGCATTCTATGTGATTATTATCTATTATTTTAAAGGTTTATTTCGTTAGATCGTGTGGTTTTGGAAAGTGTTACGTGCATTCGAACCATGTGATGTTACTAAATTTCTTCAATTTGTAACTGGTTCATCTCAAGTACCATTACAAGGATTTAAATATCTTGAAGGAATGCATGGAATACAAAAATTTCAAATACACAAAATTGACTATTCAACTGATCAATTGCCAACAGCTCGAACATGGTATGAGCTATAGACACACTTCTTTTATTATCATTTTGATCAGAGGCTGAAGGGAAGACTTCTTTCCCGTTTGAAAAAAAAATTACTCATAAAAAGTCTCAGTTATTCACTAAATCTTTTGGTGTAGCATCAACATATTTATTAATGAGAGTAATATTCGGAAAACTCTTCGTCTTATAATAAGCTGCGCAATAGCTCTGAGAAGAGGACATTTCAATAAGTGTATCGTCGGCGTGACCAACTAATAGTCCACCTTTGGATAAGAAGGTTCGAATTTTTGTTTTAACTTGAGCAACGCTTAAAAATATATCATTAGACGCAGTTTTTCACGGTGATTACAAATCTGGACTCAAAAACAATTGAAAGTCAAATCTTCGTTGTGAAAATTTAAATTTAATTTCCTGACCTAGATATTTTTTCCAAAAATTCTGAAAACTGTACCGTCGGATAGAGAATTAAATCCTCTACCAAAGGGCTCATTTGTTTTCACGTTTAGATGCCAAATTTATTTATTTTCTTCTAAAAAAAGTTTTGGCGCTTATTTTATGAGTAATTTTATGCCCATTTAGTCTTACTTTGAAATTTTATTTTTGGCTGAATGGAATAAAGGGCACCTCAAAGTATCTATCTATGTGCAAATCACAGCTTGCTAAGTAGTTCTGTGACAGAAAAAATATATACCAAACCATCTGCAAAGAAGAGAAAAGAAGCGGTGAAATTCCGTAACGGTCATTTTTATTCGATTTCCTCTGCCAGGAAACTAACTTAAGAAAAAGTCAGTAGTGATTCTGATAGTCCAAACTGTGAGCTTTAATTTGGTAATTAAGCAATCATCTTAAAACTATATTAAGGCCGAATAATTTACATTTTACTGGAATACCCCGAAAAAAACGCCGATTTTTGAAATTCCGTAACGGCCTCTATTTTGACTATAACTTTTGATCTGCTTGATCAATTAAGCTCAAATTATTTTTAGTAGTAGAACTCCCTAATATTTATCATAGGTACAAATTTCATTGATAAACGTCTTAAGGGGCACAGAAGGCGAAAACATGAAATTCCGTTACATTTGACCAAGCTGTATTATAACTTATCTTTATTCAGGTGAATAACTGTAGTCTTTTATTTTTGCTTGAACCGATTCGGTCGGTCTGAAGAAGTCGTATGTATAGCAACTTTTGCAGCAGATTAACTAAATCTTTGAGCCAGTGTGTAAAATGTTGCATAGATAATAAAATAATTGATATATAAAGACTTGAGCTGTGCAATATACTTACTAATGCTTAAAAACAGAATTACTCGCAAATAAATTTTTTTATTTAGTAAAACTTATCTCTCCCCCTTCTCAACTGTATCAAAAACACTATCACTGATTAAAATGTTATTTTATTCGTTTAGTTTTAATCAACTCAATTTACCGCCATATGAAACGTTTGATAAATTATGTGAAAAATTAGCATGGTCTATTCAAGAATGTTCGACTGGGTTTGGATTTGATTAATTAGTTACTCTCGTTGTTGTTGTTAATCCTTTTCTATCATAAATTTATTGTACAATTAGAATAATAATCAATTGTTGTTTTTTAACTGAGTGTACTAGTGTTAAAAAGAAAATCTGAAACCGTTTTCAGAAGTTTTCAACTGTATACTCCGTTAATGAAAATCGAGTATCTTGATACAGCTCAATAGAATATATGTAGTTTGAAATAGAAACGTGCTAGATGGATACGGAATAAATAATGGGTGGGCCATAAAGAATTACACTACTTTGTTTTCGCTATAACTCAGTCAGTTTTGACCGTATCGGTCAAATTTCTTTTTAATAGATTTGCCATTCAATACTCTATAACATTATACCTAAACTATAATTTCAGAACTTCAATCAAGAAAACTAAGCCAATTAGTTGAAAGTCGAAAAGAATGTAAACTTTCTAAACTCAAAATTTTTTTCGACTTGAACTTTTTCTTCTGTTGCTATTTTCTCTAAAACGTGTAGCAGAAGGAGAATTCAGTTTATGTTTGGTACAAATTTTCTGCTGCCAAGCATGTATACTAGGATTTCGTCGGTCTTTACAAAACACTTCCAGTAGTATAGCTGATTTTCATGAGCAACGTGTAGAGATGGATACAAGTGATTGTGACAATAGCGATGGTGACGATGAACAATTGCTAACAGTTGATTCTTTAACATATGCTGGATCAAGGCATCGTCAGTGTGTTATTTGTGTGTTATTTTACTATACTCAACTCCATCCGCTGATTCCGACAGTTCGCTGTCCTTGTAGAGCTAGGATATTGCGTGTTTTTTAAAAAGTCGCGATTTTTGTTTACTTTTGTGTGTATGTTTTCTCTTTTTTATTCTGTTCATCTTCCTCACTACTCATCTTTACGTCTTCATCACTTTAAATATGTTGGCATTCCATCCTCTGTTGATGGTTTTTCTCCGCAAGCGGTGCATTCTTCTTTTTTTTAATCCACTATTGCTGATTGGAATAATCTCCCAGAGTCAGTTATTTGTCTTACTTTTTTAATGTCTTTCAAAACAGTTTTACTTCAGTATCGCTCTGGCCAGCCATCTCTGCTACCGGAGTGAAATTCCGTAACGATTTTTTTGCATTTTGTTTTTCTTATAATGTTTGAGTAACGAGACGCCTAGAGATCTAGAATATCACAGATTAAAGAGAA